CGGGAGTGAAGTGGATGGTTGAAGAACGGAACGGCATACATTCTGCAGTAACGTTGTCTTACAAAGTGGAAAATCTGCTTGAAAACCAAAAGATGTGCTACGCCAATATAAAAAAATTTTGCCTTTGTGAGCCCCGGCATATGTGGCAAAAGCCCCCAAAAGTATCATTATTAACTCCCAATCTTTTTAAGACATCGCCTCATTCCCGTACCTTTCTGCTCTTCTGGTAGGAGACCCAAGCACTTTTCTCGTTGCTTTGCAAGTTAACAGCAAAAAGCGCAATGTCATGAGTGGAACCACAGATGCCACACAGATGCCACTTCGTGTCAAAATCAACTATCGCGTTTGCCAACTTCGCAACGTATCGTCCGCATGGACTAGATAGTGTTGCAGAGCATGCGACGCCCGGTGGAACGATCGCGTGTACCAGTAATAGGTCACCATCGTAGCTACGAGTCGTACCCTAGTAAATTCAGGGCACGCGTCGCTTTTCCGCAAAGTCGGCCGTGCTTGCGATGGACGAATCCGGAGTAGAGCCGAATTTCCGGCAAGGGTGGATCAGCGAAACAGTGATAATCGCATGCTCAATATGTGGCTCAATTACATCACTTCCGCTGCGAAAACAGCCGTTGCAGGAGTTAAAGCAAAGGAAGGACCTATACTGGCTGCTAAAAAGATTTTGGCTTCTGCATCTCCTGAATTGTCTTACTTCTAATCACTTCATGTTTTCACCGTTTTCCAAACATTTTTCGCATTTTCTATCACTAAATTAGTTCGGTATGGAGGTGTTCAAGACCTTACGAAGGCTGCGAAGCATCGTTGTGCTTCACAGAGAGAAAGATTTCTAAGCGGGTGATGTACGCGTCCCAAGTGCTCTGCCGCAAATAAAATAAATTAACGACTGAGGCACAAACCTCATGAAAACATATTTTTGGGGCAGCTGCTTGTTCGTTCAGGTTCAACCATAACGAACAGTGTTCGATCACCCCAAGTCCCTTCCTTTGCGCAAAATCTACATCCAAACGGCTTCGCTTGCAAATTAGATAAAGCGCTGCTACAAACGGCGGATAAAGCGAAGTTGTAATCATGCACCATGCAGATTCACAAACTTTTGCTTCACAACCAACCTCGATATCGCCGATCAGTTTCTGACGAGCAATTAGTTGCGGATTGCGCTGCCTCGCCGCAATGATTTCCCTCATTTTGTTCTTCAGCTGCAGTACGGTAGTTTTCTCATTCAGAAGTTTCGAGGGCTGAATATGCGCTGTTTGATTGCGACATAAATATGTGAAAGAAAAAAGTACTTTGTCAGGTTCCACTTCGTTTCGCTCCAGTTTGTCATCGTTACACGTCTGCAACTTCAGATTCAAGCTCAAGATTCCCTCATGATCCAACATTTGCATGATCTCGTCATCGCGCATGCTTGTTATTGATTGTATCCAGTCTCTAA